TAGATTTGCTTTTCCAGTTGTTGCAGATATACAGGAATACAGTAGATGTTTCATACATTGTCTTTGTACCTTGAGATGGTCAACTTCACTTACTAATTCTAAACTTTTTTCTTAAGATCCCCTAGGGATTTTCTATATCCACAGTCTGTCATCTGTGAATAGCGACAGTTTGATTTTTTTCTCTTCCAATTTTTGTCCTTTTTTCCCTTTTATTGCCTGATTGCACTGGGTATCTCCTGTACAATGTGTAATTGCAGCAATAAGAGTGAACACCTTGGGGCGTCCCTGGCGGCACAGTGGTTAAGAATCCGCCTGCCAATGCAGGGCACACGGGTTCGAGCCCTGGTCCGGGAAGATCCCACGTGCCGCGGAGCAATGAAGCCCGTGTGCCACAACTACTGAGCCTGCGCTCTAGAGCCCACGAGCCACAGCTACTGAAGCCCACATGCCTAGAGCCTGAGCTCCGCAGTGAAGAGTAGCCCCCGCTCGCCACAACTGGACAAAGTCTGCACGCAGCAACGAAGACTCGACGCAGCCAAGAAGTAAATAAATAAAAATTTTAAAAAGTGAACACCTTGCCTTGATGGGATTCAGCAGGGGCAGCACTCAGTATTTCATCATCACATAGAAAGTTGGCCATAGGTCTTTTGGACATATACCTTGATCAGATTGAGGAAATCCCTACTATTCCTAGTTTGCTCAGTGTTCTCGTGAGTGGGTATTAAATCGTGTCATATGCTTTTTCTGCTTCTGTTGAGATGATCCTATGGTTTCTCCTCTGGTGAATTAGTTTTGTGGGTTTTCTTTGTTTTTGTTTTATGTCAACCAATCCTGTATTCCTGTAATAAAAATTCCACTTGGTTATAATGTATTATCCATTTTATATTGCTGGGTTCAATTTGTTAATATTTTGTTTAGGACTTTTGCCTCTATGTTCAGGAGAGAGAGTGGTCTGTCATTTTCTTTCTTGCCTTGTCCTTCTCGGGTTTTGGTGTCATAAAATGAGATGGGGAGACATTCCCACTTTCTGTTTCCTGAGTGTAAGATTGGTATATCTTTCTTAGATGTTTGGAAGAATTCACCAGCGAAGTCATCTGAGACTGTAATTTTCTTTGTGAACAGATTTTTAATTACAGATTCAATTTAATGGACATAGAGCTATTCGGGTTTTCTATTATGTCAATTTTAGTAAGTGGTGTGTTTCAAGGATTTTATCCATTTCATCTAAGTTGTCAAATTTATCAGTTTTATAAATTGTTCCTAGTATATACTCTTTTCAATATCTGAGAGATCCACGGTGATGCCCACCTTCCATTCCTGATAATTAGCAATTTGTTTTCTCCTGCTCTCCGTCAGTCATGCTGTGGGTTTATCAGTTTCATTACTATTTAAAAGAACTCACTCTTGGCATTGTTGATTTTTGTCTGCTTTCCATTTCATTGATTCTGCTCTTTTATTATTTCCTTCCATTTTCTTTGGGTTTAATCTGCACTTCTTTTTATTTTTTAAATTTTATTATTTGGCTGCGTCGGGTCTTTGTTGTGGCGCGCAGGCTCCAGAGCATGCGGGCTCAGTAGTTGTGGCGCAGGGACTTAGTTGCCCCACAGCATGTGGCTGGCATCAGCTCCCTGACCAGGGATCGAACCTGCGTCCCCTGCATTAGAAGGTGAAGTCTTAACCACTGGACCACCAAGGAAGTCCCTAATTTGTGGTTCTTTTCCTAGCTTCTTGTGATGAACACTTGGATCCCTGAGGTTTAACCTCTCTTCATTTCCAATATATGCCTTTGGAGCTAATACATTCCCCCTAATCACTGCTTTAGCTGCATTCCATAATTTTTAGCAAGTTGTATTTTCATTTTTAACTCAGTTCAAAATACTTTCTAATCTCCATTGTGTTTATTTTTCCCATGGATCATTTAGAACTGTGTTGGGAATTTAGTAGTTCTATCTTTCTGTTATTGAGTTGTGGTTTCATTTCACTGTGGTCAGTGATCATGAATTCAATGATTAGGTTCTTTGGAGTATGTTGTGACTTGATTTATGGTCCACAGATTTGTCTCTTTTGGAAGCATTCCATGTACACCTGAAAAGAATTATAGTTAACTTTCCTTGGGTGTAATTTAGGTTCTACATATGAAATTAGGCCAAGTAGATAGGTTTAATCTTCTGTATCCTTACTGACTTTTTTCCCTGCTTCTATCAGTTACTGAGAAAGGTATGCTAAAATCTCCAACGATGATTATGCATTTGTCTGGTTCTTTTGCTTTATATTATTAGCTCTACACAAATTTAGGTATATTGTATATTCCTGATAAATTCACCCTTTTATCATTATGCACTGTTGCTCTATATTTCTGGTAATATTTTTTGTCTTAAAAGTCCACTGTGTCTGATAATCACTCTCATTTTCTTGGTTAATGTTGGCATAAGTGTATCTTTTCTAATGAGCACACAGGTGAGACTTTCATCCAGTATGACAGTCACTGTCTTTCAATCAGAGTTATTTTTATTAACATCTTGATTGGAGTATAATTGTTCTACAGTGGTGTGTTAGTTTCTGCCATATAACAAAGTGAATCAGCTATACATATATCCCCATATTTCTATCTCCTCCCTCTTGCGTCTCCCACCCTCCCTGTCCCACCGTCCCTTTATTTTAATGTAATTACTGATACAGTTGGTTAAGTCTACCATCTTCCAGCTGCTTTCTCTTTGTCTCGTCTCTCCTTTATCCCTTTGGTTCTCCTAACTTGTCTTGCTTTGGATTAATAAAAACATTTTTCTGTTCTATTAACTTTCTAATTCGATATTTTCATTACTACTTTAGTGGTTACCCTAGAGATTATGCTTCCTTAGTTCACTAGTCCACCACAAATCAATGCAAAAACCCTACACTTGTATAAGTTCATTAAACACTCCCGTCCCTCACCTAGAAAGTTCTTGTGGTCACATGTTTGCATGTTTTAAAACCCTCAAGACATTATCGGGTTTTTGTTGTTGTTTTGCTGCACTGCGTCTTTGTTGATGGGCGCGGGCTTTCTCTAGTTGAGGCGAGCGGGGGCCGCTCTTGGTTGTGGTGTGCAGGCTTCTTATTGCAGTGTCTTCTCTTGTTGCAGAGCACGGGCTCTAGGCGCGCGGGCTTTAGTAGTTGTGGCACGCAGGCTCAGTAATTGTGGCTCACGGGCTCTAGAGTGCAGGCTCAGTAGTTGTGGCGCACGGGCTTAGTTGCTCCGCAGCATGTGGGATCTTCCCGGACCAGGGCTCGAACCCATGTCCCCTGCATTGGCAGGCGGATTCTTAACCACTGCGCCACCAGGGAAGTCCCAACATTATTGTTTTAAACAGTCAATATTCATTCATATCTACCCATTCCCATGCTCTTTTTTTTTTTTTTAATATTTATTTATCTGGTTGGTTGCGCCGGGTCTTAGTCGCAGGCTCCTTAGTTGTAGCTTGCCAGCTCCTTAGTTGCGGCACGTAGGCTCCTTAGTTGTGGCATGCGAACTCTTTGTTTCAGCATGCGTGTGGGATCTAGTTCCCTAACCAGGGATCAAACCCGGGCCCCCTACATTGGAAGCATGGAGTCTTAACCACTATGCCAGCAGGGAAGTCCCCATTCCCATGCTTTTCATTCCTTTCTATGTTTTTATCCAGAATCATTTCCCTCTAGCCTGAGTAATTTCCATAGTATACTTTTTTCTTGTCGTACAATCTGCTGGATATAAATTTTTGTTAGCTTGTATTTATTTGTGTGAATATATCTTTGTGTGTGTGTGAATATATCTTCATTATGCCTTTTTTTCCATATGTCTAGTATTTTTTACTGTGTATTGGACTGTGGTTAATATAGTACAAGGTACTGGCTCTGAAGAAAGCCGGATTTTGTTCCAACAGGCCAGTGAATTACTGGTTGGCTGCCTGGAAGAGCAGGGCTGTTTTGTTTTGGCCCTAAGATGTCAACTTTACTCCTAAAATGTGGCCCTTCGAGGGTTTCAAAGGAAAACCAAGGTTTTCCAGCCCCTCTAACCCCAAGGGACTCAACTTCAGAACTGCCACCCTACGGTGGACAGCCGCTGGGAGCTCTGCTCAGCACATCCTGCCTTCCAGCCGCTGTTCCTGCCCCAGGATTCTTGGAGTCCTACGCTAAGCTCGCACAGTTCAGGGGTCAGCCAAGGATTTGAGGGCTCCCCCTTCTGCAGCTCCCTTCTCTCCGGGAGGTCCCCATCTATTTCCAAACTCCAACTCCTCAGGAGAGTGAGACGGAGGCTTCCTGTGACGTTCTAGCACCCACGCTGCACAGACTGATCCCTTCCAGTCGGGCTCCTGGAAAGTGGGGTGCGCGGGGATCCTCCAGAGGAGTTGACGCCTGAACTACAACTGGAGGAGGACTTACTTAGCCAGCGGAGAGGGTGAGCAAGTGTTCCAGGCAGGAGGGACAGCACATGCACCCAATGCTGGCCCTTCACCGTGCCGGCAGCTCCTGCACGTTGGGAAGTAGAATGTGGGCTCAGGAGCCAGATGGCCTGGGTTTACATCCTAGCTTTGTCCCCTGCTACTGTGACCTTGGGCAAGTGACCTTACCCCTCTGTGCCTCATCTTCCACACCTGTGTTGAGGATGATCGATAGAAGTACTTATCTCCTGCGACTGTTCTGAGGGTTAACTTGAGTCACACAGCCCTGACCCCGCCAGGACTATGCACGCAGTCCTTGCCCTGCAAGCCTCTCTCTTGCCTTCGCCAGGCGCCTGGTTCCTCCCGCCTCACCCCCAGCCCTTCACATCCTGGCTGGAGCTGAAACAGGCCGACGGCAGAGTGCTGGGCAGGCTGGACTCCCGCCGACCCCCCCCCCCCCCCTCGGGATGCCCTAACAAACAAACAAACAGGTGACAGACCAACAGTAAGCAAGTGTGTTTCTCCTCCCTGGCTGGTGTGACTCAGGCCCGGACGGCGATGCTGCCGGGTCCCTGCACCCCAGCCCCCAGCGCACACTCTCAGCAGTCCCTGTAGCAAGTGCATTTATTACAAAAATAAGTCACGGGACATAAACACGTTGACGTTCCGGATGTGCAGCACCCACTCCTGCAGTGCAGCCTTATTTCAGCGCAGGCACAGTGCTCAGCTGTGCACGCCTCCTGGTGGGCGTGGGCGCACTTCCCACGGGCAGCCACCTCGTCCCAGTGACCTGCAGCGTCCCCAGGTGCGGCTGGGACAGGTCTGTCCTGCGGGCCTGGGAGAACCCCGCGCCACGTCTCGCACGGCCTCGGCCTGACTGACAGCTTCGGACGTCAAACTCCACACCAGAGGCGAGGCTGAGCCCTCCTGGGCACGAATGCTCCCAACCCCACCTCTCCCTCCAGCCCCACCGGAAGCGCCCCCGGCCTGTCCTGGCGGCCCCGCGTCTCGCTGCTGCGTGCTGGGAGCGCCGCCGGGCCGCCGGCCAGCAGGCTCACTGGCAGCAGCCGGCCACGTGCCGGAAGAGCTCCTCCCCCTGTTCGTCGCTGAAGCACTGCAGGCAGTGAGGGCACTGAAGGTCCCCCTGGCCTCTCTGGGCCGCTCCAGGGCTCCCGCCCTCTGCAGGGAGCTCTGGCCGCTGGGATCCCGTCCCAGGCCTCCAGCCACCGGGTGCCACGAGCTCCGAAGCGTCAGTCTCCAAGTACCCGGGAGTTTTGCCCCCAGTGTGAATCCGGCAAGAACCTGGCTCTCGAGGATCCTGGAAAAAAGGCAAAGGGTCAGCTTACGAGGCTGGCCTCAGGCTCCAGCAACTAGAGATACACCTGCTGCACAGTGGGACGTGCACCTTCGCTCTGCCTGGTGCTGGGGCCCAAATGAGGACGTGCCCCATGAACAGCCTCCTGCCTGTGCTCACAGAGGAACAGGCCCGAGCTGGGGGGGGGGCGGGGGGGGCGGCACTACCCCCAACCCCGACCCCCGCCGCGGCCCCAACAGACTCACCCCACACGCCGCCGTGCAGAGAGGGAGCCTGGCAAACTGCGTCCCTCCTGGGTGGGCGGGGGGGGGGGGGGGGGGGGGGGGGTGTCTCTAGAGGCAGCAGGGGTGCCCGTGGCACGGCCGACATGCTTGCCCCCGACGTCAGCCCCGAAGCGCCGTGACCCCCAGTGCTCATCACGCCTCGTGTGGGAGCCGCAGCCCACGCGGCGGGACCCTGGCTCCTGGCCCACAGCTTCACCACCACCCGCCCCGGGGTGTCGCCCAGGGGCCGAGCAGTGCTCCCAAGTGCTCCCAAAGCTCGACGGCCACAGGCCGCAGCTTGAAAGGGGCTCAGAGGCCACTCGGTGCACAGGCCCCGGGCCTCAGCAGGCCGGGCCACCCTTCTGTCCACCAGTGGGGTCCACAGCCACGCAGGATGGGGCACTGAGGATGGCTCCCACCAACCACGAAGGGTGGTTCCGGGGTAAGCTCGGCATCCCCGCCCCACCAGGGCGCTAGCCCCTCAGGAGGATGTGTATCGGGTGCTCTGGGCGGAACCAGGGAGGAGCAGGGAAGAGGTGTGTGGGCGCCCGGGTCCTGCAGTGAGAAACCGTCAGTTCCCACCCAGGCCCGGCCTCCCAAGAAGCACCCCCTGTGGCAGGGCGGCACGGAGACCAGAGTGAGCTGCGGGGCCTGCCCGCCTGCACGGCCCATCTCCGTGCACGGGGGCTGTGAGCTGGGGGGCGCCAGCAGACGCCTGGAGCCTCAGGGGCTGCGTGTGTGTGACAGGGCGACCAGGGTCCCTGCCGCACAGCGAGGAGGGGACACACGTGCACGAAGCTCCCAGTAGGGAGCCCGAGGCCCAGGACGCGCCCTCTGGGTGCAGGACAGGCCCGACAGCCACCCCTGAGGTCACACGCCACCACGCCAACGTCCTCTACAGACACACACGGTACGACAGGGAGGTTTTCTGCCACCAGGCCCCAGGCACCGGGCACCGTGGCTCTGCCCGGAGCACAGAATCAGGGTCTCGGCAGACGCAGAAAGAGCTTGAAACCGATGAAAGAAACACGAAGAAAATGCCCAGCCTGGACTGGAGGAGATGGGCCTCCGTTCTACCTGTTTGCAGGGTACCTGGCGCTGCAGCAAGGCCACCCGTTCCTCCAACTCCTGGATCCTACTCTGAGCCCGCTCCCGGTCAACCCTCTCCAACGTGAAGTCGTCCTTGTACGCGAGGATCTGTGAGGAGACACTCAACCGTCAGACGGCAGCGCCGTTTCTGCACAGAGAAAGGCCCCCAGCGCCCCCCAGCACCCGGCCCCGGGGTGGGGGGCACCTGCTGCTCCAACATCTGCACCCGCTCCAGCGCGGCATCCCGGGCCCTCCTCGCGGCCTCCAGCTCCCGCCTCGCTTCTGCACAGTCGTTGATTTTCTCCTCCAGCTGTGTGTTGAGCCGGGAGATCTCCTTCCTCATCAGGTCGGGCGGGGAGGGCCTCTCGGGCTCGAGGGGGGCCTGCAGCCCTCTCAGCTGTGCGTGGAGTCCCCTCACGTACTCGTCCCTGCTGGCGTCGTAGCGCTGCCACTTGGCATTGAGGTCTTCCACCTAAGGAGGCCGGAACGCTCACGGTGGCAGCGGCCGAGAACCTGCTCTCAAGCCAACCTGAACTGTGAAGCTATTCACTAGCAACAAGGAGCAGAGTGAGTCTCCCCTTAAATGAAAGTTGCCTCAGGGGACCTCCCTGGTGGCACAGTGGTTAAGGATCTGCCTGCCAACGCAGGGGACACGGGTTCGAGCCCTGGTCCGGGAAGATCCCACGTGCCGCGGAGCAACTAAGCCCATGAGCCACAACTACTGAGCCTGTGCTCTAGAGCCCACGAGCCACAACTACTGAAGCCCGCGCGCGTAGAGCCCGTGCTCCGCAACAAGAGAAGCCACAGCAATGAGAAGCCCGCGCACAGCAACGAAGACCCAACGCAGCCAAAACTAAATACATTAATTAATTAATTTAAAAAAAATAAAAGGAATGAAGGCCAAAAAAAAAAGAAGTCTCAGTTTGCTCTGTGCAGAGGGGACACTAGGACGTGGGCAACAATGGCCACAAACAACCACCGTAGACAGAAGCAGACTTGCTACAATTTCCCACCGTAAAAGCTATACTTGATAGTAATTCTTGTACCTCATTTATCCACATGTGAATTAACTTGGGGGCCGGAGAACGACAAGCGTGTTCTACACGTCCTTTTAGGCAAATATGTCGGGCCTATAGGGACTGCGCGTATCAGCCGAAGTGGCCTGAGGGCAGGGGCAACCCCTGGGCACAGCCGAGGAGAGGACCCTCATCTGCGGGCCGTGAGGGGAAAGTTCTTCCCGAGGGACATCTAACAGACACTCACGTGAGTCACCTTCTGCTTCAACAGTCGATTCTCCTCCCGTAACTTCTCAACAACCGCGTGGACAGAGCCGTCCCCATCTGCACACGCTGGCTGCGTAAGAAAGGAACGGAGAGCAGACACCGTGTCACCGAACGTGACTGTCGTGTGCGGCAAGAGGGTAGGAAGCCACACCTGGAGACCGAGGGTGCAGACGGTCACTGCAGCCCGCACTGCGGCAGGTGGGACGGGCCCCTTCCCGAAGGTGGGGGAGGGGTGGTCCTCGCCCCGCCCAAGCCCACCCCACGCTGGGGCCAAGCCTCGCTCAATCTTCTCATGCCTGAGACTTTCCATCATCACGGGAGTCGGGAGGGCAGGAAGCTTAATCTCACCGTCCGCCAGAGAACCTTCCAGCCCAGGGCCACAGGGCCGCCAGGAGCAGGCCCGGCCAGGGACCCGGCTCCCTCCCTCTGGGCCCACCACACTGTCGTGTCACGTCACGCAAGCAGGGTTGACCTCAGTGATTCTGTACACGGTAGTCCACCCGTGCCTCACTCGGGGTCTCGGGACTCATGCCTGGAAACCCACGTGCCAAACCAGCCCTAATGGCGGTGGGCAGAGCTAGCCGAAAAGTCCATCTGAATCCTAGGAATTCAGTGCATTTAACAGTACGTACAGTGGGCTGTATGCTGGTGCCGTACTTTTGAGAATTCCCCTCGAATGACAAAGGAACTACATGTCCTAACCCAGCGGGCACCGGAAACCCCGGTGACTCAGCCGAGTCCAGGGCTGAGAAGTGACGCAGATGTAGAGCCTGTTAAGAGCTCCGGCCCCACCCCTGCCCAGGCCAAACACGACGTGCGGCTGTGTTCAAGTCCCCAGAGGGAAATGACACAGTGACTCAAAATCAGACGAGAACACAGCCTGCCCCCAGAGAGCACTGTGGTACCTGAAACGTGCCTGTGTGCTTTCTGAGGTTCCCTTTTCGTGGAATCCACCCGCGGAGACGGGCAGTTCTCAGACCGGTTCTCAGACCAAGGTTCTCCCCAGCGGGCTTCCCAGTGGAGCTGCTGCTAAGGGGCTGGAGGGCCTGTCCCCACCTCCCCCCACGTTTCTGAGTCATCCTGGTTGCAGCCTCTGAGGATCAGAGAACTGCCTGGAAAAGAGTAATCTGGGCTGGGCGGGGCAGGGTGTGCACTGCGTGGGATCAGACAGGCAGGGAAGGCGGCCTCGCCCCGTGCTCCCAACACCCCCAGCCAGGAGCCCCCTGACCTCCCAGGTAGGGAATTCCTGATGCTGAAACCACACTGTCCCCTCCCCGACCAGACCGCACACACAGCCACAGCCCAGCTCCACGCAGTCCTGTAGGCCGCCTGCCCCTGACCCCGGCCCCCGCCCGGCTCCCTCCCTGCTGGCCCCACCCTGCCTTCGGCCTGGCCAGGGGTCACAGCGCCAGGTACACAGAAGGGCTCCGTGTCCTCCCTTCACTGCAGGAGGGCCCCGGCGAGGCCAGCCCTGCTGAGACACGTGGAGCCCTCCCCCGCCCCGGCCCGCCCGGCTGATTCCTCACCACCTGCGGCCTTTGGAGGCGCTGCCCCTCGCCCGCCTGCACGTGTGCCAGCACCTGCTCAGGACACCCCTCCCGCCCCTGCTCTGCCTGCTTCGTCCTCGGCGAAGGCTGACGAGACCACAGTGCCATCTCCCCACGAGGACCAGGGTCACCTGCAGGTCTGGGGGTGGCAGCTGGTGACGCAGGCCACCTGCTTCCCTGTCATGTTCTGCACCTCCCACCGTGCTAGAAGAAATCCCTGGATGGGCGGGCTTTGCTGCAACCCTCACTATGGAGAGCAGGGGGGGCCCTGGGCGCCCCCCGACCTCCGTGACGGCTGAGGGATCCTGCTGCACCTCGGTCCGCACCGTGGCGTGCTGACACCACAGCCTACCTCGGGGCTCCTCTCCCCCACGTCCCCCTTTGCGCGCTGGCGTGCATCCAGACACTGGGCCAGATGCTGGCACATGTGGGCGGTGGCGGCCAGGGTCCTGCGCAGCCGATGCGTCTCGTCGGCCAGGGAGCGGCACAGGACGTCGCTGGCGGCCAGGGCCCGCCCCGTCGGGGCCGCGCCTCTCCTCCGCAGGGCCACTGCCTTCCGCTCCCGCTCCGGCTGGCTCATCAGCGGCTGTGTCTCCCTCTCTTTTTCTTCTAGTTGCTCGGGAAGTCTCTCGATTTCCTAAGGGGCAGATTCAGAAGCACAGCTGATTTGACTGTAAGAAGCAATATCAGGAACAAACATTCCTAGAGCAGAAGAAAGTCCAGCACGGACACCCGTCAGTAGGTGATCAACGCGCTCACTTGGAGGTTGGCTTCTGAACGAATAATTAACTTTGGAGTTTTCAGCCCATAAAGTTCTAACTGAAACCTCATCTAAAATTCTATTTTCATGAGCAAACTCGTAATGTTAGATTTTACATCACCAAGTTACTAAGTGCGGCAATTCCGAGTACTTCTTGATGGGAAGGGTGGAAACTCCACTGCAGTGGGTAGCCCCCAAAGATATGCCCACGCCCTAACCCCCGGTACTTGGGAACGTGACTTTACTTAGAAATAGGGTCTGTGAAGATGCACTGAGCTAAAATGAAGTCATACTGGATTAGAATAGACCCTAATCCAATGACCGGTGTCCTCATAAGAAGGAGGAAACACGGACACAGATACAGAAGACGGCCGCACGTCGACAGAGGCAGAGACTGGAGTGATGTGTCCGCAAGCCAATGAAAACCAGGGATGCCGACAGCCACCGGAAGCCGAAAGACAAAAAGAAGGCCCCTCCCCCAGAGCCTCGGAGGGAGCACATCTCTGCCAGCAACACCCTGATTTGGGGCTTCTGGCCTCTAGAACACTGAAAGATGAAGCATCTGTTGTTGTAAACCACCCAGTTTATGGTACTTTGTTACAGCAGTTCTAGGAAACTAAGATACCCAACCCCAATTAATTTTTTTTAAAAAGTCCTTAAAATTACAATTTACTTCAAACCCAGCCTTAGTTTTGTGCTTTCCCATTTTCAAAGTAATCACCAGCATAAACAGTACATAAGGGAGGTGAAGCAGGATGAACCAGTCCATCCTACAAATGAAAAAACAGCTTCAGAAAAGTCAAGGTTGAGCCTGAGCTCCACGTGAGGAAGTGGCAGGAGAAGGATCTGGGCTCCACTCAGGGAGGCGCTCAAGCTCACCTCCTGCGTGCCCACGAGGAGGGATGGACCCCAGGAACCGAGAACCTTCTTAGCACAGTGGAATGGAATACAGGGCCAACATTACTAACGGAACCCTGAATTACTACTCTCTTAACCTGCTTTAAAATGAAAACATGTGCATGGTTATAAAAAATTCAAACATACAGAAGGAAAGCAAATGAAAACTTCAATTCCTTTCTCCCAGCAGCTCCTCTGCCCCCAGCTTCACTCGCCAGAGGCAACTACTCACTATTTGGGCACGGACCTTTCCAGAGTGTTTATAAGCATCTATAACACATGTACTTTTACACAAACGGATGCTACAACACGCTTTTCTCCTCCTCAGCAATATACCTTATTCCACAGCAGCACAGAACCTGCCTTGTTCTTTTCAACCACAGCCTGGAGCTTCACGACAGATTCCAGATTTACTGAACACACACCTCCAGCTGGCAGACATGTGGCTGCTTCCTTGTGCCCTTATGCAAATACAGCCACGGGATAAATGCCCAGAGGTCAGATGGCTGGGTTAAGACTGGGGTTAAGAAGTAATTGGTGGGGTGGACCTAGAGATTATCATAATAAATAAAGTCAGGAAGAGAAAGACAAATACCATATCATACCACTTTATATGTGGAATCTAAAATATGGCACAAGTGAACTTATCTACGAAACAGAAACAGACCCACAGACGTAGAGAGCAGACTCGTGGTGGCCAAGGGGGAGGGATGGATTGGGAGTTTGGGATTAGCAGGTGCACATTAGTATATAGAGAATGGGTAAACAACCAGGTCCTACTGTAGAGCACAGGGAACTATAGTCAGTATCCTGTGACAAACCGTAATGAAAGCGAATACACGAAAGAATGTGTATATGTATGTGTGTGCGTGTCACTGAATCACTTTGCTGTATAGTGGAAATTCATGCAACACTGTAAATTAACTATACCTCAACAAAATAAATTAATAAAACAATAAGTGGTGGACCTCAGGAACACAGCCAGTCTCCGGGTCCCAGCCTGGCTCCCTGGGCCCGCGCACATCCACGAGGCAAGGGCTGCTCCCCGCGCTCCTGCACCCAGACACCCCGTGCACCTGTGATAACCAATCCATGGATAAGCCCAGCATGTGACCGAATCACTCCAGCCAGGTGACCCAGAAAACATTCTGGAAACCTCTCCCTCTCTCAGGAAAATTTTTTTTTTTTTTTTTTGGCCGCACTGCGTGGCTTGCGGGATCTTAGTTCCCCGACCAGGGATCGAACCCAGGCACTTGGCAGTGAAAGCGCCGAGTCCTAACCACTGGACGCCCCCCAGGGAATTCCCTCAGGGAATGTTTAAGATTCCTCTCCTTCCCATTTTCCTTGGACTTCGCTCTAGAAATGAACAGAAAGAGAGAAAAGAAGAAAAACTGCAGTTAGAATGACCGGTTTGGCTCTCTTAGCAAAGGCCTAGAGGAAGAGGCTGTTCTAGATCTGCACTTCACAACAGGGACTCAAAACAGGAAAGAGCAGAGGCCTGGCAGATGGCGAGGCAGACCGTGAGGGCGGCGGGGGAGATGAGGAGGTCAGGCCCCGGCAAGTGGGAAATGTCCACCACCAAGTGCAGAAGAAGTAGCAGGACTGGTGATGACGGGTGTGACACATCACTGGGAATGAGCCCGTCAACTGGGACTTCCGCCCCAAGGCGTGTGGCGCTGGCACTCCATCACGCCATCACACCTCCCTGCCCTCGACTCACAGATGTCACAATCTCAGGGGTACCAGTCAAGCCAGGTGAGACCCACTCTTGGAAGGTCATTACTTTCATTTTTCCACCTTTTGGCCCCGACGACCTCACCCCTGAACCAAAGGAGGAGAAGAGGCCTCTCTCTGCAAGCTGGCCGGTCGGCATCCATACCTCCTCCCAGCAGACGACCCTTCAGCACCAGGCCGCACCTGCAGGACTGGGAAGGGTGAGCTGGGGGCCACCACACGTGGCCTTCTGAGCCTGTCCACATAGCTGGGGCTGCCGGCTGGTGCAAAGTCACTTGGTCTGGGTGAAGCCACGTCCACACAGTGCGATGGGGCATTTACAGAGCTGAGAACCAACTACAGCCTTCTTAGCATAAAATACCATAAACAGGAAAAAGAACGCCAAACCCCAACGAAAGCTCAGGCTCTCACTGCTGATTGTTTCCTGGCCTTGGATTTATTTGTTCTCTTTAAAAACTGGCCGCTTCTGAAGGCAGTGCCAGCTGGTCAAGGCCCCTGTCCCACGTCCTTACCGTGGAAAACGCAGCAGGAGCCCCTCCCTCCAGTGTCACAGATGCCAGGCCCGCCGCGGCCCACCCGTCGCCTGGACTCGTCTTCCCCTGCCAGCATCACAGCTCTGGGGTGGCCTTGTCACTACTGGTGGGATAGACATGCCACACTCCCCCGAGCTGGACCTAGTCGCCCTCCACAGTGGCTCAGAAGTGTACCTGGAGTAGACACGGATGGTAAAGAGAGACCTGCCCTGAGAGTGGACTTTCACTACATTTTAGAGTTATTCAAACCAAAAGCTGTGATTTCAGGGCTTCCCTGGTGGCGCAGTGGTTGAGAGTCCGCCTGCCGATGCAGGGGACACGGGTTCGTGCTCCGGTCCGGGAAGATCCCACATGCCGCGGAGCGGCTGGGCCCGTGAGCCATGGCCGCTGAGCCTGCGCGTCCGGAGCCTGTGCTCCACAACGGCAGAAGCCGCAACGGCCCGAGGACCGCGTAAAAAAAAAAAAAAAAAAAAGCTGTGATTTCAGCAGCGCAACAGAGAAACGTCTCTATCCTTCTCTTTGTCTGATACTGAAGTGTATTCAGAGTAAATACATGTTATGCACATAAAAGAGGTATTAATATATATACAAATACGTACAATACAAACACAGAAAGTCTGTAATACCAGTGAAGGCTGGTCTCCCATGGAATCATACATTTCACAGACTTCTAAGTCCCTACGATAACCGCACTGACGGCAGCAGCAGCAAATGCACCAACCATTCAGTCTCCACACATCCTACGAGACAGCTGCTATCACGTCTCCCATTCCACAGATGGGCAAACTGAGGCTCACGGGATCCAGGTGGCTGCTGGAGTGCCCAGGTAAGGAGGCAGTGGCACCCAAGCCTCGACACCTCCACCTACCACAGCTCCCTCGCACCCTCTGAGGCTGGGGGACTTCAAGCAACACCTCATTTCCGAGCATCTTTCCTTGCGGGTCAAACGGAGACAGGAAGAGAAACAATGGGGCAGAAGGTCCCTGGGCTTTGGGGGCTCATGGAGCTTCCCAAGGACACACTCTCTCGTCGCCACACCCCAGCCCTGGGTCCAGCCCAGCCCCATGAGGATCCCCAGTAAATGTCTGAGAAGAAGACTGGGGGGTACAATGGCCAGGACCTGGGCCCTGTTCTCAACCTGTTTACAACACAGAGACTGAAAAACACAAACACACAGCTGACTCTGGTGGTGAGATGAGTTGAATCGGAAGGACTCACAGGCCCTTATTGTCTGTCTTAAAAATCTTGTTTCAAACACCAGTTTAGAAATGATCTGGCTCTCACGGAGACTTGCTGGGTGGCAACATATACCATACTTGGGGCTGGCTTTTTCCCTCACCGCTGAGAAACTGGAGAGCTAGAGAAACCAAGGTAAGACCACCGGGAGGCGGCGCCCTGCACTGTAGGGCAGCCCAGCCCCGAAAAGGGCTGCCTGACCTGCCCTCCCCACCGCAGTGAGAGAGGCCCCAGGACCCTGGAGCCCCCAGGTTTGGGGCACTCGCTGCTTGCTCTGAAATTGGAGAGACACGTAATGGCTCATCTGGCTAAGTGCCCTTGTCCAATCAGTAACAGTTCTTAGGACACAGAACATAGACCACTGTTGTCAAAAAGCAAGGCCTGTCCTAGAATCCCGGCATTACACACACAGACGTGATGCACAGAAGTCAGCAAGTGGCCAAGGACCCCTGGGAGACCCTGTCACTGGGACCTAAA